AATAGAATTCAAAAATCAATATGATACATGAAAGCATTCTCATAATCGTGCATTCTTCAGCAACAAATATGAAACCATAAAGCTTTTACTATACTTAAGAATCGGGATATCCATTGAGTTTTAACTCGAGTTTTACCTTCAGAACATGAAACAATGATTGTGCTCCCATCAGCACTACCATAAGTTGCTTTGGTACCAACTAGAGTTAGGATCGCTCTCTTGTCGTGAACTTTATGCTGTTCCCATTTGATTTCTGGAAGAGGAAGCTTGGCCTGTTTGGAATCAGTGGCTGCTGTTTTCTCTTCACCATACATGTACAGGGAAGAACCAGAAAAAGCATCGCATGCCACTACAACTGAGGAAGCTTCATCAGCAAATGCAACTGCAGTTGGATGACCTCCAGCAGGCAAATTAATTCTCAGAAACCTTAATAAGATACACCACAGATTAGAGATAGAAATTTGCACTTAGATTAACAATACTAAAGCTTTTACTCGAAGCTTATAATAACCAGATTACTGTCATAATAATAAGACTGTAAAAGTCATACTTAAAGCTTTTGCTCGAAGCATCATCCAACTTGAAGACCCTAACAACCCCGTCACCGCAAGCTGCAAAGAGGAAACCATTAGTATGGAAGATTGACCTCCAATTCCCCCATCCTCCTTCCAAAATATATAAATGGAATGTGAACAACAAGTGATGGAAGATATGTAGAATGTGATTATGTCCTACAATTTAAAGCATGTTTTCTTTCATTAAAGAAATTTGTGGATGAAAAATATATTTTGTTAAGGGAAACGGTCTAGACTTGCCCTTGTACTTCGTGAAAAGGTCTAATTTTTCCCTCCGTTAGTTCCGCTCATCCATGTCCTCACCATTACAACTTTTTATTTACAGCAGGTAAAGCTCTTTGGAGCGGTACAATGCTTACAACTAAATGCTACATCTAGCTTTGACCCAACGTCCATTTATATCATACAATTTTCAGTCATTGTATCAATTGCTTAAAGTTCTCTGGTCATACTTTAATACCTTAACTCTTTTGGAACTTGAATTCTTTCTGCACTGTGTTGTAATACAGTCTTCTTGTGACAAATTGTTTTCCTTATAAAAGAAACTCAATTCATAGCTTCAAGAGGGGGATGGGACACAAAGGAAGAGAATAAAGCAAGACCCCCTCGTGCTAATTTTTACCTACAATTTTCGGCAAATGGCACCAAGTGTAGAAACAGTAGCGCAACCAAAGTGATTTTGACATGAATTATATCTTTCTCACTTTCAAGCACAACTCATTTCCAAGCAACAGAGGTGTCGTATAAGGTTTTTCCAACAATCATCCTAGTAAAATAGCTTTCTTTAGATAACTTTAAATAGAAATGAATGTTTTTATAATCTCACAATTTTTTTAATCATGCACAACATGCTCACGAGACACATATCAGTTCTTCTAGTCTCATCCACATCCCTGATGAGGTCTGATCGGTGCAAGCATAATTCTACCATGTGGGTTAGACCAAATTCAACAACGAAATAAAAACTCAACATGATAAGTAGGTTGCTCTAAGTAATCTTTAGGGCTCGATTCTCAAAAATTGCAAGGAAAAAAAAAAGATTGAGCACTATTTGATTAGCATATCAATGATTGGGAAGTGTGTCCTACAAGGCCTGTCCTTTTGAAAAGGGTTATATCAAGACATTTAATCCTGTAAAAAAGAGAATTTCTCGAAAGAAAATGGAAAGAAAAAAGCTGGTTCCAACATGCATATCTCGACAGATTGACTGTGGCCACAACCAGGCAAATGGAGAGTTGTGCATCTTAGTAGAAGTACAGCGATCATACAACTTGCTTTGTGAGGCTTAGAGCTCAAACAACCAAATACGTAAACCAAAATTACCAGTTGCCAAAGACTGTGCATTGGGTGAGAAGCAAACTCCAGTGACAATATCCCCATGACCTTTTAGAGTATTCAAGTCCAGAGGGTGATGCCTTTTGTTTGCATCCTGCAGAACACAACCAGTACCAAAAATTACTTTCAGTTGACTGGTCATTGAATACACAGCTCAAGGTCATATCTGTAATGAAATCTAGAAACGCGTAACTTGGCTAGTTTGTTGAAATATATTTGGATGAGAAATGAAAGTTGAGTTATTTATTCAACTTGGCTGGTCTGTTGAAATATATTTGGATGAGTAATGAAAGTGAGTTATTTATTCAAAGTGTTGAAAAGAAGTGACCTATCACAGCAAAGTGAAGCTGTAGAAGGCAAAAACAGAATGTAGCAAAGTGAAGCTATGAAAGGAAGCTAACTCAAATTTACCATACAACGATTGGGGTCTCCAACTCTAATGATTCTAACCTATATAAGGTGCAATGGTTCCTTTGCAGGGAGATGAAACAATATCCAAGAGAACGCTATGACAGCTTTGACTTTTTGGTTAACACATCACAGTAAGCTTCCTATTGCAGTATTCACAAAATTAAGAGCTCGCCACGGACTGTAGGTTTGGCTTTTAGTTATTCATTGGACGGACAGCATATTCCTAAACCTGTTATTAGGAATTTGCCAATCTCTAACAGGGGCTGAGCTAGAGAGTCAGCTACGGGTTCGGCCAAACTCAATAGCTTTGGTCCAAACCTTGTTATCTTAAAAACCCATTGAATATGTACAAATTCTTAATTTAGTACCTATTAACTTAAAAGAACTATAATCTCGAACCCATAAGCTTCAAATCCAGGTTCCGTATCTGATCTCTAACTAGGTTTTGATAAGCTAAGTTTTTTATGCTTTTTCCCCAGCGAAATGCCCCTAATTGATCTTTGCGGATATTCAGCAATAAAACCTTCAACTACTCGTAAGAAGTTAAGACTTTATCAAATCCATACGAGATACAACATCTTTGTACTTCTTGGCTGCTACTAGTCCAGCGCTGTTTTAGTGCTAGGGAAGTTACTTGAATATAAGTTTGTTACTTATCCAGAAAAAAAAAACTACTCAGAAAAGGTCTGGTAAGTTTCACATTAATCATAAGGTTACATTTCATGGCTTGTATCATTTGTATCATCTCACAACAGTAAATATTTTAAATAATTTAGTAATAAAGAACATCAACGAACCCTAGAGCCAGGAAGAAAAGAAAGAACTTTTGTGTGTATATATATAGTAAATGTAAGGGATCACTTATACCTTATGATCGGCGGTGTGAGAATGAGATTTGCCTTGCGATTTCTTCAAAGTGTTCTTCTGAGATTGCTGAGGCTTCGAAGCCTTCTGAATTGTCTCCGGCTGGGTGATAGATTCAACCTCCGATTTCCTCTTCTGGAAATAGTTTCCGAACACTAGAAAAGCAATCACGGTTCCGATAATCACCGATACAATCGCAATCGGAAGCATTGAATCCATTGTTGAATGCTGTGAATCTCGAAAATGGAGTTCTTAAACCGAAATTTTCAAGCCAAGTATTATCAATTCAGTACGAAGCTGCCGCTTGATGCACGTTGAGTTGTCTGTACATTCCCATTATATATTTCTCTCAGCGTATTTTATAAGAAATTAAATTATATATCGATTGGTTTTCTTTTGCTTTTTCTTTTTGAGGAAAAATGATCTCGGATGAGGTAAAAATAGCAAACGACAATGAGCTTTGCTGTTTATGAATTGAAAGTATATAGTGAGAACTCTCTATAATAACATTTTAGCTACAACAGCAACGATCAGAACGTTCTTAGTAAAATTACTCTCTATAACAACCATATAGAATCATTAAGATTACTGATAATAGCTTTAAAAATATGCACACAATCTTTTTTATTAAACAAAGTTCCTATCTTAGCTTGTATAAGATATACAATTTGAAGATTTGCATATGATATCTTTTCCATTGGACTAATTCCAAAAAATACTTAGATAGAAAATTTAACAGTTAAGCTCTTAGATTGTCTTCAAGGAAAAACTTTTGGATACCTATTTGCTGAAAATTTGGACACAGATCTTCGCCAATTCAAGCGTTATATCGCCTGTAAGAGAATTAATATACAAAACAAGCTACATTTACAAAGTTCTTCCATCAATCTTGAAAGAATTTATTTTTCTAGGTAGCTTTAAAATGCCTATCTTAGAGTTTAAATCTTTATAAATTTAGTTATGAATTTATTAATAATGTATTAACTTTGTTCAATATTTAACTAGTGAAATATGTGTATTTTTTGAGATTTTAAATTTGAATAATTTTCTTATCTTTTATATGCAACATTAAAAAGGAAAAATAATTGATTTTTGGATAATTTTTATCTATAACGGCCAAAAAATATTTAAACGTCAAATGTTGTTATAGGTGTATAACAATCATTCACTATAAAAGCCAAAATATTGGAACAAATAATGTTGTTATAAAGAGGGTTGACTGTACTTTTATTAGCATTTTAGTCTGGGTTTTCAAATTTTTATTAGTGATTGAATGTAAAAGTATTAGATTATTAAATAAAATAAGCTTTTGTTCGTAGTTGATTTACTAAAGAAAACGTTTAGAACTTATCCAAATATATATTCCAAAAATTTGGAATTAATTTAACTAGTACATTGACGAACTCGTAGGGGAATAGCGATTAAATGAGCTCAAAAACATCTCTAATAGTTTTAGTTAAGGTATTATTATGGTCTTTTTAGGTTTCCAACTATATAAACGGTTGTTCTGAGCATTTTAACAAACAATGTGTTTCTAATTAGGGTTAGAATGTTCTAATTATTTGTGATATCATATGGAGGGATAACTTATTCAACTACTACGAATCAATAAATAGTTTACATAAATATATTAAACCAGGAATAGATAAGTTTAACATAAAAATCTTTATCTATATAGCATGTAATTGGTATTAGGTGTAATGTTAGGATTGTGTAACTAAAAAAATTTGAGGCAAGCAAATTGAATTTAAGTTCCATCACCTGAGAAGGTACCAGTTGAACCAATTAATTGGACCAAAGGCATTAAAGATAATCTATTGAAACAGAAAATTCATTAAAGAAACAGATACAAGTAATCTTCTTCCTTAAACACATGCCTTGAGACAAACTTGACCAACTAAATTTAGTACAATTACAAAATTCAAGAGTGCAATCCTGCTTGTGCTTGAAGTTTAAAACAAAAAAAACTAAGTTGCATTCAAACTCCTTCACTGCCTCATGAATGTTGGAAGGAAGTTTCTATATCATCTTCTAATCCCAAAGATGGTTCTTCTACCTAAGCTGCAAGATTAGTATAAAAGCAGTAATCCAACAGCCATATGTATATTCCAGTATCATGAAGCCTTCTTTATAATTGATGTGCGTTTGCAATGAATCAAGTTCTTCCCTCGGAACCAATAAAAAAAGCATCAGAAACCAACAATGTGCTCCTTAAGTATATATTGCACCCTGCACCCTTAAATATGAAGAAAGTTGGTTTAGGGAAGGGGATCCAGTAGTTTCTTCAAATGGAAGAAAAAGGAGAAGAAAACATAAAACAACAATTAGTTTAGCTTTCTCACTTACCTTTCGGGTGTCAACCAAAAATGTAGTTTACAAATCCCAAATACCATATTAAATTCTGAGGCTATCTACTGAAAGATCTTTCTCTGATAGCAATTTCAGTTTCTGTAAAACAAGATGAGAAGAATGAGTTCAGACTGAGGATATATATCTCTTGACTATTGTGTTACGAAGGCGATGCATTAAGTCATTTTTCAGATGTAAGCCATCACCATAGTTCCTAGTTTTGGCAAATCTTATAGCTCTATAGCCTGGAAAGCTGCCTCATCATCAGATTGCAGTTTCAACAATTTGGATGTTGAAATGGGGAGAAGGCCTATCGGAGATTAATGGATAACTTCGCTTACATGCCATCATAAACAGACGTTTTTTTAATAAATAGCTTTGCTTGTATGCCTTTGTAAACAAACTTATTAGTAAATCCAATATTCACATACGGAAAAAACTGAAGTGGTTAATCTGGCATGGATCAACTCATCTTACGTAAAACTTAAATTTTAACTCATGAATCTTGGAGTTTTTATCTTGAAAAACCTGAAGTCTCTGAATTGACTGATGCCAAGATTGATCATTTTAGGATGAATGTTTTGCAAGTATGTAAAAGAGTTATTCGTACATCTTATTTCTAGAGAGGAAGATTGTGAGAATTCTTAGAAAATCAAAATCAAAAGGCACGTCACAAAAAACTACTGGATGAAGTAATATTACCGTGATGTACTGAGGTGGATCATCTAGACTAGTTGTGCCAAGGACCACTTCCCTCCTTAACTTTGATGTAAGTTTGTGACAAACCCTAAGCTGCATAGAAGAACATCAACAATATACCATTTCAGACTTTCAGAGGCCTAAGCCTTCACTAGGTGGAAAGCCACTGAATGGAAATTAAAATTTAAGGTTTTACCTCAGATCGAGTTGCACCACCGATAATGAAAACAAATATCCGTTGTCCCATGTTCTTAAAATCAGTTGAAAAACTTCTGAGATTGGAGTCGCTACAAAAATTCCAACAAAGGCATAAGACAAGGTGAGGAAAGCATAATGAAGAATTAAATGAATAAATATGGTACTCATGTTTCTGAAAAGTGACAATATTTTCATAATGAATCAAGGAGGTCTGGATCTTCAAGGGTAAAAAAAAAATCTATTAAAGACGATATTCCACGGGAAACCTTGAATATCCATCGTCAGAAGTACGAGAACGTGCCCAATTCGGTGTCCTTCTTGATCTCACTGAGCGTGGATTAGTAGATTCAGCAGTCTTTGGTGGGGCATTCCTTACAGAAGATCCATTGACCTCATGAGTAGCTGGTTGAGGACTGTTCATGCATTGATAATCATCTTTTGGCAAGTCACCTTTACACATTTTCTCAACCAACTCCTGAAAGAAGCAGGATTGGTTATATGATAAGTATGAAGTATGAGCTAAGCCATTTTAAGAGCTATTTGATTAAATATTTTAGCATTCAGAAAGTCTGGAAACTAATGGAAGCTGAATGTATCCGCTGTCACACAATGGCAGTTTAAAGAAGCATCTTTTGTGAAAGCATCATGTTTGCTTTCTAAGCATTGTAGTCCCCAAACTTTAAAATAGAGTTCCAATAAAGAGGCAAGGTAATTGGACCCTGAGATTCCAAGTATGGAAGTTTCTGGAATATAATTTAGAACCCTCCAGCGGTATTAAGGTAAATTGGTCTTTAAGCAAATTCCATTTCAAATAAAGTACTGGGAAGGTATCTTCTATGTGGCGCATAAATAAGATCTTCCAGTGAAATTACCCTCTAATATTTTCAGTGCTAGGTTGTTCAGTGGATTAAGTCAGTCAATTAGGACTTAAATCCTACAGTTCAAGTAGACATTTGAAGTAAACACCTATCTGGTCACAAGTCGACCATTAGTTTCCTATTCCAACACTAAAAGTCAACTAGATTAATCTTGGCTGGCAGCAGAAACTGCAACACTCTTACACCAACAATCTTACAGCACTAAACTAAAGATGAAAATATCTTGTCAGTTATCTTCTGCAAAATTACATTCAAGGAGGATTAGGAAGTCTTATAACGCACCTCTATCACGGGATAAAATCGGAATAACTGCCATGTTTCTTCCTCTCCAGCTCGATCCTGTCTAGCTGCTTTCCCTTTCTAATATGCAAGCAACAAAATCTAGCAACTGTCAGGTCTCAGTTTGGCATAATGAGCTGAAGTCTCCAGGGAAGTTTTAATGTTTACCTTTTGTGAATCAAATTTCAGGGAGAAGCTTCCACTTGACGCCTTCCGTTTTTCTGAACCCTCCAGCATTCTCATATTTTGCACAGCCTTCATATCCTCAGGTGACAATTTTGCTAACTAAGAGAAAAAAAAGTATCTATGTTAAAACTTTCAAAGGTTCCTTAGCTTCAATTTGCAGTATAGATGAACCAATACAAAGTATATCCATGCATTTGAGACAATGAATAACAACTTTAAAAGTTGATTATAGGACTAGAATATGGATCAATGGATGAGAGATGATTACCCTTGCGCATGAAAATGTAACTTGACCAACAATATTTTCTTATGGCATAAAAACATGTTGAGAACTTTTTTCTCAAATGGTTCATTCTCAAAATATTATCCAAAGAGGCCAGGAAATTCCTAAGAGCATTGATCTAAAAGGAGATAACTCACATGGTAAAATTGTTCCATAAATTAGAACTTTTCTTGGACCTACTCTTTTCACAATTCCTAAACTACATTCAGTGACACATTATAATTGTAATCTGATTGAAAAAACTATGCGAAAGGTCAAAACAGAAACCTGATCTCTCTTAAGCCAACTGCATTATTGCTCATAAGAACAACTTCTTTTTTTTTTTTTTTTTTTTGTATTATTTGGAACACTGTGTAGAAATCCCAACATTTTAACATGGAAAAATTTATTGTTTGTGACGCCCTATATCATATTCTTCCGATACTTATGGCTTCTTTAGTGATTTCTGGGCATCATCTTTCTCAATGGATTACCGAAACCATTCCACTTCTCTTCAGAAGATTCTTTCTTCCCTTAAAGCAACAGCAGGAACTGCTAATCTCCAATTGTTTTGTTACGTGTCCATATAATACAGGCATGCAAATCCACCATTAGATCGTTTGAACAAAAGTTCAATGATAGGCTAGAGATGGGAATCAGACTGTTTCAAGAAATAAGCATGCACGAAATACCTGCATCAGTTTTGCTGCTTTGTCGCCCTCAAATTTTTCTGGATAAACAGATGCATAAATCATCATCAAGCGTAACTTATTTTCACCTGCAGTATCCTACATGCTGCGAAGTTATTACAAAGACCATGCCTGGAAGTGGAAATTACAATGAGTTTGAGTACTTGTATTCTGAGCCAGCATAAACATTATCACCTGCTTCGTCCTTAGAAAATGGATCATTTCCTTCGTTCCTGCATCGCCAAAGACAAGATCCTGCTCTAGCTGTCCAAGTTCCCGAAGACCCGTTTCTCGGATAACTTTATTAAGCTCACCTGCAATCTGATCAATCAAGCAATGAAATAAACTTCAGCACTTTATTGAAGGCAAGGTTCATCACAGTCAAAATTCAGTTGGTCCCTAAATAAACAAAGAATATCTATACGGAATTCAACATCGATAAGACCAATGACATTGAGGCTGTTATGTCTCTTAAACACCTCAGTAGATTTTATACTCAAATAAGATAATGACCATCCTCATAAGCTCTAGTTTACTGCCGATGGAGTCGAGAAGTAGCTGGTGTGTTGTTGGGGATTATACAAATTTAGAATACAAACCTAAACCAATGAAACTATCTCCTAAGAGTTGTACATCCAAAAGTACGTCAACGTCTAATTTCTTACAGTCGACCTCTATTCAAGTTCGATTTACTTGCATTTAGAATTATTAAGTGTTACTCCATAATAACTAGTTGTGAAGAAGGGCGAAAATGGTTAAGTTTGCTCTTTGAAAGAGAGGAATAAGTTTGCACAGGGATCCAGTACGAAGGAACAAACCTCAACATGGATAGAGAGTCTCTCCTTTTGTTCATTATACTGTGGCAAAGCTTGGACCATCTTCTGCAAGTCCCGTGTAGATAATTCACCTCCATCTCTATGTAAAAGTAGATACGAGTTGAGTGATTATCAGAAAAATGGAAGTATCATGAATAAGATTAGGTACATCTACTCATCTATAGCTAATAAATCACAGCTATGATCAATTGGTCACAATTAAAACAATTATAAGACACTCTAGATTAATTACCTTGGCCTCTTCACTACATTCCAATTATTCCAGTTGAATTTACAAGTAAAATGAATAACTCAAAAGAATTTTTTTTTCTAAAAGTACACACACATATAGAGTGCAACTGTTTCTGAAATAAAGTAAACAACTGATGTGCTATCTAAAAGATGTGTATGAAAAGCAAAAGCTATAATTTCAAGCTCAAGCCTCTGTCGTCAATGGCTCTCTGATCAGACAAGTTTTCCATGCTTGTTATCTGCCAGTTAACAGACAAAATCCTAAGAATAGAGTGTTAGCTTAGAATTATACCATGCCTAGATTCGGTGGTGAATGATTATTTGATGCTATGCGCTTCTTAAAATTATTGGTCCATAGTAACATGAGAAATATCATGATAGCATATATTCAAAGGCTTCAGGCAAATAACATGCTAATCAGCAAAATATGAAAATAAGAAACTGCTGAAATAAGCTACTTTTCAGATTGAGAAACTTGGCAGAGTCCCTCAACCTCTTGATACTTATAAGTCTCAGAACAACATCTCATGCTGAACTTACTACAAGTTACTGAATGCTGCATCATCCACAGACATGGAGCACAGTACGTACTATAATTATTATGTTACAGGTCTTCACAAATTTACCAAAGGAATAAAATTTTATCATTTACAGCTAAAACACCAACCTCTGCTCCATCTGTGCTGCTTTGTTCTTAGAAACGAAGTTTGTAAACCTATCGTGGAGTCGTTCACTAGCCTGGTAAAGTCTTTAAGTTAGGAGCAGAAGCAACATATGACACTCACAAGCATCAAAGGAATAAGGAAATTCTTAAGACTTACATCAGCTATATGAGTATGCCGTAGCTCCAACCAAACAGGATCCTGATCTTCCAAAAGAACTTCCTTCTTCTCAGGTGGACCACCTGATTTGCTAGGAACCTGAAGTGAGATACATTTCGATCAAACACCAGGAAAATCTTGATATAAGAGATCCAGAACATGAAGCAATGTGTACCTCATGTACGTATTTATTTCCATCCATATCAAGCAGGTCATGACACATGGCATCATATGTCCATTCATGAATCACAGGAGCAATCTAACCAAGAAGATTTGTCGTTATATTAATAATAATGAAATAAGACCGGGCTGACTAATATTTATCAACAAAATCAATTCAAAACCTGGTCAACAGATCTGTCCAGAATCAGTAATTCACATGTCTCTTTCTGCGGAAAATTAGGAATACTAGACCGATACATAGTGATATTGTTCCATATAGCTGTAGCGAGCTTTTCAGGAACTAATTCACGGAAATTTGTTGATGATCCATCACGTCCCTTGGGAGCTCGATAACGCACAAAAGGAAATTCCTGGATGTAAAGACAGAGGTTTAGCCAAACTAAGTTGGTCACTGGGAACTGTAAGTGGAAGATATACAGAACTCGAAGACATATATGAAAATGCAACATCTTTTATACCTCCAAAGTTTCTTCACTTTACCTAAAGAGCAGTCACAACTGTACCAACTTTATCAACAAATTCTTTTTGACAGAATAATGGTAACATAAACTGATAAAAAGCTAGTAGCAGTAGTCTTTTGGTTTGTACATTTTACATAAAACTTCAGATGAAAGAGCAAGTCACACATTTGTGAAGCTTAAAATTACCTTCAGCGAAGCAAAAACAGTGGCAATTCTTGTGGCCATTACATTCAAGCAAGCATCAGTACGCCGGGAATTTTGAGCACTTTCACCAAACAACTCTTCAAGTGCTCTTTCATGGTCAGTGACAAATCCCTGTGATAAAAGCTGACATATTAATAAAGTTGCAATCTACAAAATTCTTACATCAATCAACAGATAAACTACTCAATTCCAATTAGTTGGGGTCGGCTATGTGAATCTTCTATGTCCCTTTCTATCGATCCAGGTTCATTTCATATCTGCTGCATCATTTTTCACTCATCAAAATTGTAAATTCTTCTAATGTCCCAGTTTAAAGACAGATATTGAACTAAATGCTCCAACTAAGGCGAGAAATTGTTTGTCGAAATATTTGCCGAAGTACCTGGCTGTCTATTGGGAAGTACTCCAAATTCATCTGCATTGTGCAAAAAAGGAAAAGAAAAAAAAATGAAATAGAAGATTCAGTCAAACTTGTGAAGATATCAATTACATGATGCACGCAGTATTGTAGACAGAGACACATGATTATTACCTCTCCTAGTGCACCTATACGGGGTATTACACTTGTGTCATTCTTGATGCGGGCAACCAGGTCCTTAGGTATTGGGGAACTGAAGTATACATATGCTCTGAAGAAAATAGGGAAATAATAGAAGTAAGATGACAAGAACCAGATGATTCACTTTCATTAAACCAAGTGCGGTACACTAGATTTTCTAGAGAACGAGATCCTGTCACATACTTCCTGTATAAAGGTTCTCTTCCTGACATATCGGACAAGAACATGACAACGCTGCAAATTCAAAATTTAAAGGTTAGTTCTCATTTAATTTAGTGCTGCAGAAGGAAAAGGAACCCGATGTTTTGGACAAGAATCACTGAATTAACTGACCCGATGTTTTTAAATGCAAACCAGCTTTGCTCTTATCCAATAAAGGTTAATCAAGATATGAAATTCAAAATTATGACTGCACAGACGATGAGCAGAAAATTTTGGAAATGGGTACAATCATATGGTAATTTGAAGGTAAGGGTGAGGGGCAATGGAGGTGAAGAATAGAACATTAAAGATCACGTATGAAGGAAATACACAGTTCTCATGCTTTGTATACAAAATCAAGCAGAGATGATTATGTAGAGAAGGGGTGTTGAAAAAAAAGTCATACTTCTCCTTTGACGGTTGGATGAAGTATATAGCATCCATTGTTGGTAAAGGTTGCCTTCTTCTAAAAAGATCTTCCACCACTGTCATAATAAATACACATAATGAATCAGGATATTTTCAAGAACTAACAACTATGATTAACCTACATCGGGCTTTGGGACTCATTGCACCAGGGTTTGGTGACAAATTCAATAAGACTTATGTGACTGAACAGAACTAGAGATCACAGAGTCTTAACTTGTGTGGTGCCAAAAACATTTTATTTTTCCATAGAAATTTATAAGCGGAAACATAACCTAATGAAAATAGTCAGCACTCACTTCTCATTGAAATATGCTCTTTATTCTTGGTTTGTCGAAGGGGTTTGATAATTATGTGAGGGTAGATTGTCAACTAGAACTACAATAACGCAGACAAACTAAAAAATACATTGTATGCGGAGCTCACATGAAACTCCTTGGTCTGTGATATCAGCCATTTTGCATGTGGAAGACATTACTTTTACCGTTACTTTATCCATGATAAGAACCTGCATAAAAGCAGTTCAGCAGAGAATAAGTTCCAAAAAAAGGCAATTTCCCAACGCTCTCAAGTTTAAATCAACAGAACAGTCTTCCACCGAACATGTACCAAATAGCTATATTTTAATGTTAAATAACAATCATGATATGAAAAGATATACGTTGAGCAGATACGTCAAAAAGATATAAATTGGCATCATCATATAATTAGATGTATACAAAGCACCATAAACGTGAGAAGGAATTCAATCAACCTAGCAAAGGAAGTAAATGTTGTGCATGGTGTAGAAAAGTCTTAGAGCATGACAGCAAAAGGCATAGTTTCAAGTGCAGCCTGTAACTCAAAACTTTACTGTCTCCAATTCAAGTTGTCACCAGAAACAAATAACAATGTTAGTGATTCACTCAATCCTCCACTGAAGACATCATTCCTAAATCCCCACTTCAATGCACTATTTTGAATAGTATTTATTTGAAGGTAGCAGGATGTTGCAACAACATGGAAGCTCATTCGTTTGATCATGCTTTTTTTGAATACCTCAACTTCTCCCCATATTAGTAATTGAAAATTATAAATATGTTTGGACAATGTAATCTAGTTTAAAATTGACAACTGAAACGTGGGCAATAATACAATGATATTTCTGTATGAAAATTATTTTGAAGTATTGTGTTAACTATACGTTGTAGATTATCTAATGATTATTTTGTATTTGCTGTAAAATTTACAATGTGTATTGCCCCACTTTTTTTTATATCTAAACAGTAAATCTATTTAGAAGTGTCGATGGTTATTACAAAAGATACAGTAACAACAAGAACAACATACCCAGTGTACTCCCACAAGTGAGGTTTGGGGAGGGTAGTGTGTACGCAGACCTTACCCTACCTTGTGGAGGTAGAGAGGCTGTTTACAAAAGATACAGTGGACTATCAATTCATCATTTTGGCACATACAGTTCATGTTGCATTCTGAGTGCAATAGAATGTATCCCTTACACTCCTTCCCTCACCCTTTCCCTAGATTTTTGTTCCTAAAAGATGGAGAAGGGGTTCATTGCTATCAATATTGGGAAGGCGAGGTTCTTAGCTCACAGTACAAGTGCCAAGCTATGCCATCTAAGCTGATATGCAGTCTCCTTAAGGCGCATGCCCATGTTATTAGACAGTCAATCATGACTCTACATGCTATTTTTTATTTTACTTCAAAGTTCACACATTCAATGTCATATCTAGGAATGGCTTAAAAGAGTTCGAGACCAATATGAAGAAAAACACGTCTAAATATACTTGATGCTTAATCTTGATAAGAAGTAATGTAATAGCTTTGAAAGTCATCTGATACCATAAAAAGTATTTGTCAACAGACAAATTGATCATGCACACTTTGACTATTGAACACCAGGAGACTTTGCTCCGATTCATGATCAAGCAATTGTCAAATGACTCAGATGACAAGTTAGACTACTCACGTCAAAATTAATCAAGTTGTATTGGGTAAGATAAATTATTACAAACCATGTATGTCAAAACTTGATAACATGGGTAAACAAGACATATTTAGAAGTTTGTGTTGATAGCATGGCAAGCGAGTCTTGGCACAATGGTAGAGTTTCTCCTCGGATTCACATTTCAAGGAGTGGAAACAACCTATTTGCAAAAATGTAAGGAGAAGGCTGCATAAGGTATACACCACTCTCCCCCTAACCCCACTAGCTGGGAAGCACTTCATGCACAAGGTAAACCAAATTGAAGCTGGTAGGACTCACAACACAACATAACAAAATAATAGCTTTCCCCAGACAAGAGATAAGATTTGCGACTAAGTATTTAAGACTATGAAATATAAAGAAAATATAATCGTTTCAAAGATAACAGATAAAATTTAACAAACTGATTTCATGTAACAAATCCCTCCTTTTAACATACCTTCCATGAAGATCTTGAATCTCCTGAACCTGAAGATCCAAGCATTTCATTTAATAGTCCTAGAACAAAAATACACCAACACGTCAGTGCATTAGTATAAAACCATTTAGTGAAAGTGTAAAGCTCCATGCACACCCAAAGAGATCAAGGGACAAAGAGGAGGAGAAAGTTCAATGCATCAGGAAGAATCAGTAATCTGGTGGTATTGACATAAGTCGATGCTGCAATAGAATTAGAAATTTTAGGCTACACTTCATCACTCCACATGACTTCTCTTCGTACATATTTCTTGTTGCCGGATTGAAAAGATGAGAGCAAAAGGTTAGATGATTTCACTAGTTAATGTCTCCCATTTGCATCTCTCTTCTTCCACTTTTCAATAGTCCAACTGCTAGGTGAACTCCACACTGCATTTATTAGAAGACTTGTACACCACATGGGTAAAATGCTTTTATGGCCTAACTGATTTCATGAAGTGTTTAATTCTCTCTCCGTTACTCGTTGTGCATCAACGTTAAAGATTCAGCTTATTACATATTTAGGAAGGCAACCCAAAATCCACCAATAACTTAGTACAGTTGGTGAAGTTTCAAAGAGAGGGAAAGAAGTTGTGCAAGCTTCCGCATATTAACAACAATACACTCCCCTCATTCCCCCCCCCCC